TTCCCACTGTATTCTAAACTTTAACCTTTGATATGTATATCTGTTTTGTTTTAGGAAAATATGTGTTAATAAAGAGCAGGGGTCTAGAGACTCAGAGAATTTGGTTACTGAAGCTAAGTCCTCCTCTGGCTCCCCTATGGTTTACAAATTTATATTATATTTCTAGTCTCTTTATTAATTTACATGTAGAACCTTCTCCAGATTCCTGAATCCTTCTTGATGCTGGAGAAAGACCCTGGCATATTTCATCTCTTGTGTGTGTCACAGTGGAAAAAAATACCAAACAAACAATTCTAGGAATTATGGTCTTAAATGATGAAACAGGTTTACTACATTTTTATATTTTTAAATACCGTATTTTCTGGCGTATAAGACAACCCCCTAATTTTACAGTTAAAACATAGGTTTAGGCCTATATCCACTTTATAAGACTATCCTCCACTTCAAAGAAAAGACTTACTTTGCTGTCAAGATCTGCAGGTAATTTTTGTGCAATTTTGATCTTTTGCCTCCGATTTTCAGTTGACTTTTTTTTTCGTTTCAAAAGTCGTCTTATATGCCAGAAAATACGGTATGTTTTTATTGATTTTCAGAGGGATAGAGAAACATCAATGAAAGAGAATCATCAATTGGCTGCCTCCTGCATGGCCCCCACTGGGGATTGATCCCAAAACCTGGGTATGTGCCCTGACTGGGAATTGAACTGGCAACCTCTTGGTGCATGGGTTGATGCTCAAGCACTGAGCCATGGCGACCAGGCAGTTTGCTACATTTTTAAACAATACCTAGATAAACTCAATGTCCAATTTGAACATAAACACTTAAACGTTTGTAAGAGTAGTGAAGTGTGATTGCCAGAGATAGAAATGGAGTTGGATATGTTCAGGCTAGTAAATCTGAGCAAAAGGAATGGATTAATTGAAATATAGGGTAGGTAAGACTGGCTGCATGAAAACCCAGAAGGGAGAAATCTGTGCAGATAGCCCAGGAATGGCAAAGAGAAGATGCTGAATGAGTCACCCAGATTATAACCGTTAAGAATGGGTCTTTTCCAAGGTTTAGTGGCATAATTAAAACAAGTCATTAACACAATCCACCAGCTTCCTTTACTTGTTATTACTCTTCCTTCTTCCTAGGCAGTGGGAGTGCTTTTTTAACTAAAACAGTAATTAATTACTTGCCCAGCAAGTGGAGTATGAGAAACAGATCCTACAAACTTTTGAAATCCACAGACTATTTTATTTTATTTTATTATTTTTTAAATCAATCTTTATTGTTCATATTATTACAAAGGTTCCTCATTTCTTCCCCCCTCCACCAGGTTCCCACCCCACCCTCTGCCCCCTCCCCATCCCCCATTGTCCTCATCCATAGGTGCACAGTTTATGTTCAGTCTCTTCTCCCCTCCCTTTCCCCGATAGTAAATCCCTTTTCAGATAGTAAATCAGTTACTTAGCATTTTCTCATATCAATAATACCTCCACATGCCCAATGATACACTTCACACAAAAGACATTTCCCAATAGGTCAATTAGCCTCATCCAGGCCCCATCCAAGGCACTCACAGATCAACACCCCAGCCCTATACTAACTCAACAATCCAGATCTAAGCCTTCATCACTTGATTCAGCAGACCCTCAAGTTCCCGCGAAAGTTTCCAGCCATGTCTGAGAGGCAGCTGTGGGTCAGGGGCAGGCGAGGAGTGAGCTGTTCTGGGCCTGGCTGCTCAGGGCCTGGCCTCTGTTGCTCTGGTTCGTTCCACAACCAGCTGCTCCGGGTCTGGTCACTGCCGCTCCCGACCTAGTTGCTCTGGACTTGGCTGCTGCTGCTTCGGGCCTGGCCGCACCCGACCCGGCTGCTCCCCCGGGCCTGGCCGCCCCCAGCCTGGCAGCCGCTGCTCCGGGCCTGGCCGCACCCGACCCGGCTGCTCCCCCGGGCCTGGCCGCCCCCAGCCTGGCAGCCGCTGCTCCGGGCCTGGCCGCACCCGACCCGGCTGCTCCCCCGGGCCTGGCCGCTCCCAGCCTGGCAGCCGCTGCTCCGGGCCTGGCCGCACCCGACCCGGCTGCTCTGGGCCCGGCCGCCCCGGGCCCGGCCGCTCCGAGCCTGGCCACTCCCGACCTGGATGCTCTGGGCTTGGCTACTGCTGTTCTGGGTCTGGCTGCTCCCACCCCAGCTGCTCTGGGACCAGCTTCTCCAGGCCCGGCCACTCCGGGTCTCGGTGTTCCTGGACTGGCCACCCTGGGCTTGGCCGCCTCCACCTCAGGCCTGGCTGCCACTGCCCCAGGTCTGGCTACTCCAGTGCTGGCTGTTGATGCTCTGGTTCTGGCTGCTGCTGCTCTGGGGCCTGGTCGTTGCTGCTCCGGGCCTGGCTGCTACTGCCTTGTGCCTGGCCACTTTAGGCCTGGCCGCCGCTGTTCCAACATTCTGTCCTTTTTTTTTCTTTTTTTTTTTTAAACGCATTTATGTTGCAATGTTGGCTGGTGAGTTGAGTTCTGACTTAGTCTTTGATTTTTCAAGACCTTCTTTGTATTCTTTCTTAAGTACTTTTACTATCTTTTGCTCTCACTTGATTTCTTCACATTGAGAACTTCTTTGGTTTCTTCCTCCTTGTCCTGGGAGCTCAGCAGGTTGGCCTGTGGCACCCCTTTGTTCTCCGCGGGCTCCTGCGCTGCTTTAGCCTGTTGCCGGGGACAGCGCCGCCCAGGAAGCAGCCCCCGGCCTTGGCTCCATTGCCCGCGCTCAGCGGTGGAAGGCTCAGGGGCACCCCCCCCCCCCCAGGGGCCCCGCCTCCTTGCTGGTGCCCGGTTGGCCGGCGTCCGGCAGGGGCTCCCGCTCCCCGCTGCGTTCCCCCAGCCCGGAGATTTTTTTCTCCTTCCCACTAGGGGAGTCCAGCATCAGAGTCAACAGACTGTCCTCTGCTCGCAGTGCGTGCGAGTCCGGGGGCCCGGCCTTTCGCCGCTCTCCCCGGACTCCACCTCACAGCCCCGTCTCCCTCTGCCTGAGCCTGGGTCCCCAGGGATTGGCCCAGAACTGGGATTCGGAGCAGTCCGGACTGAGACCCAGCACCGCTAGAGGCCTTGTTTCTTCCGGCTAGGGTAACCCAGCATCAGAGTCAACATTCAGTCCTCTGCACGTGCATTGCGAGCGACTCCGGGGGCCCTGCTTTTCGCTGCTCTTCTGGGATTCTGCCTCACAGCCCCATCTCCCCCTGCCGGAGCCTGGGTCCCCAGGGTCTGGCCCATAACTGGGGCTCAGCGCTGCTGGTTCAGGGGGCTCAGCGCTGCCGGTTCGGGTGTTCAGCCCAGGCTGGGGGTTTTATTTCCTTCCTTCCGGCTATGGAATGCCAGGCAGCACTCAGCCCTTTCCTCCTCTCCGGCTACGACCTCTCCATGTGCATGTGCGGGCAGGCGCGCAGCATGTCTCCGTACCTTAGGCTTTTTTTCAGCTCCTCTGATTTTCCTTCTGGTTTTCTCTTTCCTTCTTGTAGAATTTTCAGTCAGTCGACTACCTGTAGCTCTGGGCAATGTCCACTCTACATTTTAGTTGTATTCCATTGAAATTGTTGTGTGCTGCCGCGGCTAGATGTCTACCCGAGCAGCCATCTTGGATCTCCAGTTTGAAATCCACAGACTATTTTACACCAGTCTGAAAGATGAATTGCTCATCCCTTCAACAAGAATTGATTGTCTGCTCTGTGCAAGGTGTTGCCCTGGCTGTAGGAGGGTCAGTGCTGACAGGGCAGACAGGGTCTCTACCCTCAGTGAATTTGCAACCTAATAGTGGCCAGAGCCCAGCGACTCTGAGGGGGTTAAAGGAACAGATCACAGAGGCAAGTGTGTGAAGCAAAACGGGGACTTCAATATTTTAGAGAAATGAATTAGTTCTTCAGACCACGTGGTCACTGTTTTGGCTTGAAGTGTTATAATTCCACAGAATACACTGCCCCGAAGCAGACGTAAATGATGTTTTTGTGTCCACTCTGTTCCCCATGCCAGCAGGACAGGCCATGGTGCTGTGGTTACAACCCACTGCATTTGATAGGTGCCTATGATAGTGCTCCGACCCAGACTAGTGAACTTTATCTAGTGTGGGAGGCAAAGTTACAAACTCTTCAGAAATACTATGTATGAGGGATGGTTATGATAATAAGATCATTAAACAGAGAGAGGGAGGTTGCTGGTGACTTAGATAATGGTCTTCAAATGGATGTTAGGCCACTAAACCTTTCTCTGGATTTGAGCCCAAAAATACTGTCAGGTTCCTAAAACAAAAGGGAAGAATCGTCCTCATGACCAGTAGTGACCTTAAGTCGATGCTGCTCTAAAACAAACACACAGACACAACAACGTGCAGTATGAGGCTGGGGACCCAAGGAAGCCGAGATGCTGAGGTTCAAATTTCATTTTCAGTTTCCAAAATATTCCCAAGTTTGGATGTCAGGAGAAAGAAAAAAAGGTCCCGCGAGGCCACATGCAGAGGAAGGGCTGTGGGCACAGGCTGACTAACATTCGGCTTCCTGCTTTTTATTTGATTTGAGTCTGAAAAAAACAGATACCAGAATGGCTGGTGCACAGGCCAGCCCAGGCCAGCCCATGAGGCTTTGAAATCATCTGTCATTTCCATCCTGTTGTGATCACAGGGGCTGCTGTCTAGAGGAAGGAAAATGACCTGGGATGGGTGTCCTATAGATGGGTGACCCCAGTCCCACAGCTACATTGGGGCCCTGCCCAGGAGAGCTGTCCCTGGCTGGTCTGCTACAACCAATCCACTGCCATGGATGTCCTGCTCTGTGCCAGCCCTGGGCAAGCTGCTTTCTCACGGGACAGAGCAGGTGAAAGGCTGGGATCGGGATGCAATAGCGGGCGATGGGGCCGCATGCTCACCCCAGGCCTGGGACCAGCACTTTCACAGGCTCCTGAGTGTTTTCCTCATAGACAACAGGAGACTCTAGCTTCTCCTTTCTTCCCCATTCTGGTCCATTTACGTGTCTCTCCCAGGTCCTAATAACCATATATTTCATTTTCCACCCACCCACACTCCTGGCTTCTCCCCAGCCGGTGGTCTGGAGAGAACTCGTAAATGTCATTGGTCACAAAGCCGCTCTCTATGCTGGCCAGTGTGACAAACCCGCTCTCAGATGGGTTCACAGCCCTGTCCTCAGAGTCGCAGGACAGGGCATCAGGAGTGGCTTCTCCCGAGCAGCCTCGGAATGAAATATTCTTCAGGTCTGGCCGGGTCTCGGCTAAGTCAGCTTCGCTTTGTTTCTGGATGACCTTGTAAACCTCCAGGTCTGGGCTGTTGGCTCGGCCAGGCAAGGGCCAGAGGGTGCGCGGTGGCTCCTTCATGCTGGGGCCTGGCTGCTCCCGGGTCCTAGAAGAGAGGACAGGGCTGAGTTTCCAGAGGCGGGGACTGCGACATTCCCTGTGCCCGACCATCCTGTGCCCAACCATCCATCCCTGTGCCTGCTGGCCAGGCAGGAGGCCATCCAGGGCAGGCACAGCTGGGCATCTCACCTGCCTGACTCCAGGGGGGGGGGGGCAGAAGGGTGGGGAGAAATAGAACAGGGGTGTGTTGCTATGTGCAAAGCAACTGTAAATCTACCAGTCACAGGAGCATGGAACAAAGGTGTCTATCCTGGAACCCCAGAGCCCCCAAAGAGTCCATGATAGAACGGGATGGGAAAAAATATCACTTAGAAAACCCTCTTGTCTAAGTGAAAAAGGCAAGGCCTTCCATTCTAAGTGTAGGGAAATAAACAAAAATAGAATTAGTAATATCTCTGACTTGATCAAGAGAAATTATCTCTGACTTGATCAAGAGAAATTATAGATATATTTGTGATTTCATGATTTTATAACATCACAGTCATAATAGATGCCTTAAAATAACTTCAAAATTATAATAATTACCCCCACCATTAATAAGGAAGCATTAATAAAGGAGCATATGTATTTCTGTATCACATTCCTTTGAGGAAATATTTGGATAAACTGTGTATTCACATAATCGCTTCCCTTGCACCCAATGCTTTTTTTTTATGCATTCAAAAATATTTTTCCGGGAAGGAATCCTTAGGCTTCACCAGGCCTGGTGAGGTGCTAAATAGGCAGAGAAAGGAAGAGAAATCAAGAACGAATGGCAAAGTCAGCCGTCGTCAAACACATTTGTAATTTTTTTTGGACTGAATTCAATTTTTAGATGAGAAGGAATTAACTAGTAAAAATGATCACAGTAATAAAAGCGAACATTTTTGAGTGCTTACTATCTGCCCATTCAGCCTGAACTAACTGCTTTGATTCTAATAATTCTCTAAGGAAGCCGTTATTAAAGGCAGCAAGTTCTAGACTCTTACTCGTTCATATTAAATTGGCCATCAAAGGGCGTCACATCTGAAACTGGATCTTCGTTTTTCTGTTGCAAAGTGGGCACATCAGCCTTCTCTGGGTACCTTTGGGGAGAAAGGTCTCTGGGAAGCTCTGGGCATCTCAAAACTGTGGCACCTGATCCCTCAGTGGAGTGGCCCTAGACTATTAGTGTCTGTGTTTTATAGCAATCCACAACCGAGTATTCAGTGGAAAGAAAAACCAATTAAAATGTTTGGCTATTTCATTTTGAATAAAGTGATTTAGTTTCAGAAGTTTGTTTGTCAGAATTTTCTGAAAGAGCTGTTTTCCATGTGGCTCACTATTCACTCCTCCATTCATTTTGGAGTGAGAGCATGGGTTTCTGAGAGCACTTGGCTGAGTGGATACAGAATAACTAACACAGTTCACCCCTTAAGCCATTAAAAAAATAAATAAGTAAAAGAATGCAAGATCACTCTCAAACACAGCCAAGCACAGATGCTTGGTACTTCAGAATGCCTACAGCATGGCAGAGAATTTACTCTCAGATCTGCCATGGTGTTTCCCTTGAAACTGCCATGGCTTTTAGTAAGTCAACAGGGCAACATCCAAACTTGAGCGTTCAGAAGACAAAGGTTTGCATGACCAAGGTTTTACTTGCCTCCTCCTCCAGATCCAAACCCAGCAGACAACTGCGGTGACCAGCAGGAGGAGGAGGAGGGGGATGCCGGGGACGAGGAGGTAGGCAAGGTTCCAGGCAGCTTCTGAAAAGAAAAATGCACATTATCCGCATTAATGATGATGTGTGCTTTGAAACAGGTTTTAAAAGTAATAATACACCTAATGGACACAGAGTTTTCCAAAGAGCATCTCCTTTCAAAAAGTGAGAATTTTCTTCCTGTCCAATCATCCCAGGTAACAGAGATATTTAAAGTTTGGGTCTCATATAATATCAGAAGGGCAGTTCGGGTAATTACATTTTTTCCCCCCCAATTGCAAGATAGTCTCTCTTCTTGTTCTTCCTCTCCCTTAAGGAAGAAGAGGCTGCTTGGGCAGTATGGATGTCCCCAAGGTGGGGCGAGGGAGAGGGAGGAAGGAGAGTCTCCAAGTTATTACTTGGAAAGAGACAGTCACATGAAGCATGCCATTCAGACTGCAGAATCTCCCCAACATTTCTAAGGCTAACTGGATCCATCTGGGCCCAGGAGCAGTGAGTGACTTCTCCTGTCCTTTAAGCCTTAGAACCAGAGAAGTTTCTTTCAAGGGGCTTGGGAGGACCAAGGATTGGGGACTGACCCCTTTCCTAGTCTGACTGGGCTACCCCTTTTTGCATAGTATTGTGTACTTTTATCAAACATTCCCACATACTTATTGTAGAATAACACATTTGATTGGCCTTTGTCCCTGGTTCCTGGGAGGAAGGGCCTCTACATCTTTGGAATTTCTCAGCTAATAAGAGTGACTGTTGCCGAAACCGGTTTGGCTCAGTGGTAGAGCATCGGTCTGCGGACTGAAAGGTCCCAGGTTCAATTCCGGTCAGGGGCATGTACGTTGGTTGTGGGCACATCCCTGGTGGGGGGTTTGCAAGAGGCAGCTGCTCAGTGTTTCTCTCTCATCGACGTTTCAAGCTCTCTATCTCTCTCCCTTTCACTCTGTAAAAAATCAATAAAAATATATTTAAAAAAAAAAAAGAGTGACTGTTATTCATGAGCCCCTCAGACCACATCAGAGTTGATGCTGACAGAGATGTCTCAGAATGAGACTGGTGAGGAGGCAGTGGAGCCTGGGGATTGAGCTCAGTTCCATGGCCAGTGATCAAATCAGTGATGCGAATATAATGACACCTCAGTAACACTCACACCAAAGCTCAGCGGAGCTTCCTGGTCATGTCAGGAGCATGAGAAGGCATCCCAACTCTACAGGGAGAAGGCAGGAGCGCCCCACTTGGAACCTTCCTACACATCACCTTTTGTGTTTTTCATTTGGCTGGTCCTGATTTGTTTCCTTTATAATAACATGTAGTCATAAGTAGAGCACTTTCCCGAGTTCTATGAGTTGTTCCACCAAATTAATGAACCTGAGAGAGTGGTGGGCACCCCCTGGGTTTTTAGCCAGTTGGATAGAAGTGCAGGTGGCCTGGGGACCCCAGAACTTGTGGCTGATGTCTGAAGTGAAGGCAGCCTTGTTGGGGGCCTGAGCCCTTCACCTGTAGGGTTGTGCTAACTTGGAGGGCTAGAGTCAGAACTTAATCACCATATCACAATATCCTATTTTATTTTATGGACACAGTTTCTCAGGTAGTGAGAAAAACATTATTGCTTCCATTATGCAAATGATTAAACTGAAACAGAGAATTTGTATGTGTGTGTGTGTGTGTGTGTGTGTGTGTGTGTGTGTGTGTGTGTTTTAAGTTGCCCAATGACAAAAACCCAGATCTCCCTCCAAAAATTTAAAGTGGAGCCCCTGTCTGGTGGCTCAGTTGATTGGAGCATTGTCACACACACCAAAAAGGTTGGAGGTTCAATTCCCAGTCAGGGCATATACCTAGGTTTCTGGTCAATCCCCAGTCGGGGCAAGTACATAAGGCAACCAAGCAATCACTGTTTCTCTTTTACATCAATGTTTCTCTCTCTCTCAAATCCATCAACTAATCCTGGGGTGGGGATAACAAAATAACAACATTTCAAAGTGGAGTCCAGGTTGAAAGTCCATTAGCACTCCAATTCATCACCCCATTTCCTTTTGTCTTTTATGATTTAACTTTTAAAAGGTTTTTGTCCATTTCCTTTATTTGCTTCCCAATTAATATTAACCATGGATATAATGCAGCATGGTCTGCAACTCTCTGCTCTATTTCCCTACATCCATTCTCAGTCTCTGCCCATTACCTGCCCTAAGACTTCGGTGGTTTCCAAGGCTCCATCTTCATGCAGATTTTTCCTCCCCTGCAGTCTAATTTCCCCTATTGCTTTAGGACAGCTTCATTAGCATAGTTCACTGATGAAAGCTAACATTTGACTCAGTTTTTGCAAATCACAAATGCCCTGTCTAGTTCCATTGTTAAGTAGCTCTGGGATGAAGAAAAGGAGGAAGTGTAACTGTCGGTAATTTGTGATCAAGGGAGTCCATGATCTATTTTTCCCAGGAGAGTTCTGTATATACCTTTGTTTTCTTTAAATGTTTCCTTGACATCTTCTTCCTCTGTGTTTTCTGGAAGTATGGGTGTGGCTGGCTTTGTCCTTTCACCTGGAAACAGACACATGAACTTGAGAACCTGGAGAAAAGCGTCAAAACACAGATATTCTCTGAAATCCTACCAGCTTCACGGTGGAGTGCCAAAAGGCAGTAACCATTTGGCCATTGACATTTATAGACACAGAGCAAGGGTAGACTTTGCTGGGATGGAGGTGTAATTGCCTTTATCTTTCTGGTGAGACTCTTGCTGCCAAGAATCACAAAGTACTGCAACAATAGGTGGCTGGCATCAAGGCACATACTGTACGGAGGTGCTAAGGGGAAGATTCTATGGCTCATTTCTAGGGCCAAAAATGATCAGTTTGGCCCACTTGTTTAAATAGATCTCGAGTTATTCCTTTCATATTGTCAGTAATGACAAATAACATCTCAAACTGAATTTTCCAGCTGTTCCTTTTCGGCTTTGAGAGAAACAATGTTAGAGAGCTAGACTCCCCACGACTCGCCACAGCTGGATATGGCATATACCTGTTTACTGTTCTGGATAACAATGATCTTTCTGTTGAACAATCTGGTCTAAAGATCATATAGTTCTAAATCTATGAGGAAGGGCTGTGAAATAGCCCAAATTAGCCCAAACCTCAAAAGACAGGTTTACCTCCCAGCCCCAGAGAAGGAACTGTTGGTTCCTCTGTGGCAGAAAGAAACAAAGATGAAAATAATAACTAAATTTTCATGCCATCTTAATGACATTGGCCAGATCATGGCATTCAGATATTTGCTCATTCAGTCACCAATAAACCATCTTCGCTATGAAGTTAGTCAACAGGATCAGTTGTGCACAAAGAACCCTCCCTAAGCTTTGCTTGTGCGCTTTTTTCTTTTTAAAAAAGTATTTTGAAATTTTTAAATATGAGGATTTCCAAATACACACAACAATAGAAAGAATGATATAATGGACCTCTGTGTACCACCAGTAGCTGCAATTCTTATCAACAAATGGTTAATCTAGTTTCAGCAATAATCCTTTTCCACTACATTGGTTATTTTAAAGCAATCCAGATGTCTTAACAGTTTCTATTGGGATGTTTTAGAAAGCAACAAACAATGATCTCCAAGCAGAGGAAATAGCTGGGGGCTAAGGAGACCACTGGCCAGCCCCTAGGAAGAGACTGGTGGCTGGCTTAGAACTCTCTAGAACTCGGAATTATTTTGCATATTTCAAAGAACCCAGGAAAGTGAGCTTGCACAGACAACTCATAGGAGATGTTTGTACTGTCTTCTGGCAGTCACTCTCTTCAACCCACCAGATGGCACGGGGCTCATGGGGATGGGGTCCTTAAGGGCAAGATTTTAAAACTCATAGTTGTAAGGCCAGGATGTCAAAGCTATTCAGAGAGAGATAAATTTTTTTTAAAAAACTTAATCATCTTCTCATCAGTTCAGAAATTGGTAGAGATGATTCAAATCCATTAACTTATTTTTTAAAATTTGTACAATGCATGTCATATGACAGAAATATCATCATGTTCTAAGTGTTTTCTAAAACAGTTTATCCTGATAACAGCTTCATGCGGTAGGCACTCTATTATTACTCTGATTTTGTACATGAGGAAGCCAAGGTACAGGGAGTTTATATAATTTGTCCAAATCCCTCAGCTATTAAGTAATAGCTGAACTGGGATTTGAAACAATAAATTCAAATAAAAATTAAAATCATAAGGAGACAAACTCTGTGCTAGGTAATGGCAATAAAATAGCAAACGAGAAATAGTTCCTTTCCTCTAAGGCTCTTATACTCTACAATTTGGCCATAAAATGTGAAAATATAGGACAATATTAATAAATAAAAATAAATATAATATTCTAAAAATTTGTGATGTTACATTATAATACACAGTACACTCAATAACATTACATGATCTACTCATTTTCTTGTCTTTCTGTGGTTTAATCCACTGTGCGAACCTGCAGCAGCCAGCATACTTACGCAGCTTTTGCTCCAGTCCTGCAGTGCCTCTGCAATGCATCGCCTGTGACGAATTGCCTCTGATTTTCACCGAACCTGCCTATGCCTTTGGCATACCCGGAAGGAAGTAATCAAGTGTGCAGAACCTGCCAGTATGTCCCTTGCTCTATGTGGCCATGTTGTCAAATGCAGTTTTGGATGTTATTCCATCAGTCCCTTGCCACTCTGGCATAATGAGTGGTGTGCCATCCTGTTTGAACCACGCTGGATGAACTTTCCCCTCATCCATCAAGTGCAGGGATTGATTGGTTAAATGTGTATGTTTCCAGACCTCATGCCAAACATGGAGTGAGGGAGCCAAACCTGTAAGTAGGCTGTTAAAGTAATGTGTATGTGGGGAGCTCTGATCCTCATGGGAGGATCACCTAACCTAGTTTGAAGAGCCCTGGAAGGTTCCCAGAGGAAATTAGTATTTTTTTAAAATTTATTACTTGGACATAATTTCTGATTTATAAAAATTTGCAAGAATAGTACAAATAATTTTCATATATTCTCCACCCAAATGTTATAATTTTATCACATTTCACTTATTCTCTTTAATCTCTATCTCTATTGCTTTCATTGCTCTGAAAGGTGATCTGCTAAGTCAGCCTCCAACTTTGCAATCACCTGCCTAAGACAACTCTGCATGGGGTTTAGGGAAACAGGTTTCTGGGAAACATAATTCTTGAGAGGGTGGAAAGAAAGAAAATAAACTATTTGGCAGAAAAAGCATAGTCCACTTCAAACAATTAAAAGATGATAGGATTACCTAGTAACTAACTAGAAACAAGTCATTCTCCTATCGGGAAAGGATGAAGAATTGAAGCCAAGCCATTGGCTTCATGGAGGAGAGAAACTTGAGAGACAGATCAAAACTCACTTCAAGTTTAGATCCAAGCCAGTTATAAAGGAGGAGTGTGGGGAACTCCAGCAGAATGAGACTACAGTCTTAGAGCCCAAACCCTTGGCAGACCTAGGAGCAAATGCCCTTTGCATTTGCAAGGTACGTATAGAAGGTGACCTAGGAGGTCGAGCTCATCAAAGTGTCTGCTCTTTGCCCCAAACCAGAGAAATTGGTGTATTTTATCACCTACTGCCTCAGGTCAGGTCACAATTCTGTTTCTTTAAAGCCCCAGAAAATGATCTCACATGGCTGTTAGAAGGCTTGTAGGGACAATGGCCAGTATCTTTTCATAGTTCCTCTTTATTCCAAGCTCCTATAGCCAACATCACACGTGGGAAAAAAATAAGAATTTGTAATTGTCCACATAGAGGATTTTTGTTTCCTGAAGTTCTCATAATTCTTGCTTCATTATTCATAAATTAGATCCTTTCTTTTCTCATCCCTCTCTTAGCATCTGATACCCCTCTCCTTTGCTAGTGCTACTCCTCAAGGAGGAAGGCTCTCTCATTTCCCTTTCCAAGGATTCCCAATGTTTACCATTGTTGGCATTTGCAACACACTTTATTAGAGACCATGTAATAAATTTTAGAATGAGGGAGGAAGTTGAGAGGTTCAGACACCTAACTTGGGAGAGGATTATTACCATCGGAGTATTTGCAAATGAAATTGTTCTTCATGTTGCATCGGTCGTCATTCCACTGGAACATATAGCGGCCCCCGATGCCGGTGGGTGCAGATGGCTGGTGGTACATGACTACGCAGACCTCGCTGCCACAGGAAGGCTCATCCACATACCAGTTCCTGTAGGAAAGGGGTCAACAGTGGAAGCAACTGGAGAAGGATACTAGCAGCCTTCAAAGCCTTTGTTTGTCCATCAAATCCCTCTGAGCCACAAACTTAAGACTCTGCTTCAGAATACAATACAGAAAAAGGGAGGAATTGAAGTTCTGCCAGTAGGAAGAGTCACAGGCTTTCTAATATGACAGCACAGTCAATCATCTGACACTTGCCACAACCTCTCTGCAGGAAGGAAGGAATATATTACCATATGATTTCTGCAAAGTAATTATGGGGGAAACACAGCTAGCAGCACATTCTGGACAATCTTATTTATGGCTTGCTTTTTGATAATTGGGTTTGCTTTTCTTCTTTTATAAATCAGATGCTCTCATAAGGGTCATGACTCATCTCATGTCCTGCTCCCATCTCCTCACACTTTTTAATTGGCCATAACTGACTTTCCCAGCCCTGGGAAGACTTTCCAAAATGTACAGGCTGTCAAAGCAGGTGAGGGGGCGGGGACTAGAGTAGAGGGCCCACATAGTCTTTAGCTGTTTCCTACTCCTTGGGCTGATGAGCCCCTTGGTCAGCCTTTGCTGATAGATTTCTTGTCATGATCTCCCTGGCTCCTGGGTAGGATGCATTAGCAGCCTCACCTTCACTATTCAGTGCTACTTGGAATTAAATGGCACTGACACCCTGCTGGATATGTGGGTGCCAGGTTTGGGAGTTCACAAAGTGCTCTGAGCACCCACCCCATGCACTGGCCGTGGATGGGGCCCTAGTTACCTGATTACCCACTGTGCTGTTCCCTTCCAGCACTCAGACCTTGCCCTGATGCTCAGATTATTACTGGGCCCTTCAGCTCTGCCTACCATTGTCAGAGCCCTTCCTTAGGAAACAGCTAAAAGTCAGGTCACCTCATAGTACCCCATTATGGCTCTGCTCAGTGTTGTATTCCATCCACCAAAGGAAGATCCTTTGCTGCACCCTCTGGGTTTTATGTGCCTGGACAACAGCTGACCTTGCAACATGGCTGGATACTATGCCTGGATCCCTTGCTCCTCAGTAGTTACCTCCAGGCCATTTCCCAACTCTGTGGCTGGGCCTCCTACACTGACTTGCCATTGGCCTTATGGCTTTCCACTGGCCTATGGCTTTATCTTTCTTCATTTTACAGATCATAGACTAGATGGAATGTCCAGAGCTTAGTTGGTAGTTAGTGGAGGTTAGAATAGAGAAGGACTCAGGGGTAGGGCAGAGAGCGTGGCCAGCTGATCACGGGAAAAGCCTTCTAAAAGAAGAAAGATTAGAAGACTGGGGACAAGGAGCTATTGACTAGAATGTTACGACCAGATTCTATTATAGGTTAAAGCACACCAGAAAGTATCTATCATGGAAGAGACCCTTCACAACGAGGGAGACTAAATGACTTGGCCAATTGAGATCAGCTAGTCTGTTGTCAGCTGGCCCAATGCTGGTGCAATAGACACACACTAGAGTAGCCATGGTGGCAGGGATGGAAACTGCATGGGCTCAACAGTATCGGTTCCCACTCTCCAAGGGCCATCTAACCTGCAGCAATAGAAACCAATGCTAAATCCCTGAAAGAGTACCACCCTAGGAGACCAGCAAGTTGGCTACAATGGACTCCTTCCAGTGACTCATTTTGATAGGAATAGACACACAGTCTGGGTGTGGGTTTGCCTTTCCTACCCCAGGGCCTTGGTCAGCATCACTATCCAAAGTGTGACACATTCAGTATTTGATCCACCAGCACAGTACCCCAAGTAACATCTCATCAGACCATAGGGTCTACTTTATAGCAAAAAAGTGGGAGTAGGCACCTGGCCATGGGATTTGCTAATCATCTCATATATTCACTATCCTGAAGCTGCCAGCTTGACAGAGTTATGGAAGAGCCACTGAACACAGAGCTTGAAGTACTAGCTTGGAGGCAATACTTTTTGAGAACAAGGCCTCATCCTCCAAGATGCAGTGTACAGTTTGAATCAATGACCTTTGTATCTCCCTGTTTCCCCAAGAGTAAGACTACATCAATCTGGGAGCTTAGGAATGGAAGCAGGAGACGTCCTGATTACTGTCACTGGTAGTGGGCTAGTTGGAAAATTTGTACTTCTTGTCTCTGCAGTGCTGGGCTTTGTGAGTTTAAAGGTCCTGGTACCCCAAAGGTACCCAGTAGAAGATACAGCAAAAGCCTTATTGAACTATGAGCTTTGGCTGCCACCTGGGCACTCTGGGGTCCCAGTGTCCAGGGACCAGCAGGTAAGAAGAGGACTATTATCTTGGCAAGGAGGAAGTACTAATCACAAGGAGGAAGTCCTTCTGCTATTTCATATCATGGGCAGAGAGAAATATGTATGGCACCCAGATAGTCTATTTGGATACCTGTCAGTACTCGTATGACTAATTTTGATGGAAAATGGAAAAGTTCAAGGAACTAGGGCCTCCAGTCCCTGAGCAGAGCGGGCAGGGAATCTGGACTGGATAGCAGAGGAGGGAGCTGAGTGTCAGTTGTGGTTCTGGGACCAGCTGCAGTGGTGAGAAGTGCAGTTCATCCGATTAACCTTCCCTTTTAAGTTTCTCCCAGGAAGAGAAGCCCATGAGGATTTTGAAGGAGGAACTCCTAGAATTTAGATGAAGATCTGGATCTGATCAACATAATGGGTAGACTTTGATAGATGCTGACATGCTGTCTTAAATGTAACGGGTAAAGAAGATTATAATTTAACTTTCATTCTTTTTATTGATAATGAGTTTAAACTTTTTTTTTTTTATCATATGATTGTTTACCAGTTAGATTTTGTATTTTTTGTAATGTCTGCTTAGGTCCTTTGCCTCTTTTGGGGTTTTATTAACTTATTAGAGGCCTGGTGCATGAAATTCATGAACAGTTTGAAGAAGGGGTGTCCCTCAGCCCAGACTGCACCCTCTGGCAATCTGGGACTGCTGGCTCCTAACTGCTTGCCTGCCTGCCTGATCACCCCTAACTGCTCACCTGCCTGCCTGATCGCCTCTAACTGCCTCTGCCTTGCCCCACCACTGCAGCTTCTTCTGGAAGGATGTTTAGAATGACATCTGGAAAGTCATTCAGCTGTCTGGTCTAATTAGCATATTAATATTATACTTTTATTATTACAGATGTAAACTTTCAGTGTTTTATTGACTTTTATATAAACTCATAAAAATGCAATCTTTGTTAAATTTTCTATAATTTTTTCCAGTTTCATGTCTGCCTTTTAATTAGATATTTTTTTATGCTTGTCCATGTCACTGCATTTCTTGGGGTGCAAGTAGAGGCGATGGCAACACCATGGTGCCAGGGGAGGGCATAGGTTTAGGAAGGTTCTATAAACTGCAAGCTCCCTTAAGCCCTCTCTTGCCCAATCCATAGAATTAGATCTTGGCTCTGATTTCTTGTCCATCATTATGATTCCCTGTGGTCTGGAGATCTTAGCCCCATAGACCTTCAATCTCTCACTGGAGTTCTAATCCAGAAAAACCAGATAGCAGAATGATTGGAAGCACTGCATGCCATTGAAAGGATACTTCGGCCACACCCTCCAGAAGAGAGTTGTTTGGATAAGAGCTGAGTCCGGATCAAGGCTGACTCATCACCTTCACTACACTGCTTTAATCAGCGCTCTTCTGCTGATGTCTCTGCACGGCTGTTCCCTGGGTCAGCCTCCTCCTCCTCCTCACTGACCTGGCACCGTGGGCCTAACCTGCCTCCTTTTGGAGTTATGTCAAGTGGGTCAGTCCCTGTGGGTCCCGCATTTACCTGAATGTTGATATGCTGCCATCTGTCCAAGTGTAAAGGTCCTTGCAGGCTGTGCTGTTGCTTTGCTTCTCCTCACGCCTCCAGAGCCCAATCCAGAAATCGCCATCAGATGCCATGAGGTTTTCAATGAACTTCTCTATCAGCCTCTGTTCATCTTCAGACTCAATGCTGACTAGCTGGCCCCCGTCTGTCCGGCAGGCTGCTCTGGCTTCCTCAAAGTTCAGTTTTCGAGAAGCATCATGGAAGTAAAGGACTTTATAACAAGGCCTCTGTGTCCCTCCCCGGCAGACCAGCTGGCCTAGAGAAAAAGCAATTCCACCCATTTCAGTGAACCCATAGTGTACTGGAGCAGGGATGCTTGGAGGCATGCGAATGAGGCTATCCCCAGGGCAGGCACTCTGATGACTCCTCAGTGGACTGTTGTCAGATCAGTTAGGGCTCTGAGAAAAACTGATAGCCTGCCAGCATGAAGATGTGGTGAGTTAGACTACATCATGCAGGGACTTCATGTTTTGTTTGTCCAACCGCAGCTTCCTGAACAGCAAACATTTTTGGCTTTCCTCCAAAAGAGAGGTAGATGAAAATGCATGGTGTCACCTTAAGGCACACAAATCACTTTCATGCTATTAGGGAGTCTCATGGGATAATGTGGCTTTTATATATATATATTTATTTTTTTTCTACTTCCTTAGTGTGGCTTTAAGCGAGCTATCTGTTTGGGGCTTCCTTCAGGTAAGAGAGGCATTCTGAAATTGGGAGTGGTTTTCTCTATCCTGAAGCCCTTCTCTGCCCATGTGGCAGGACTCAGAATTCACCCAGTCTGTGCGCTGTTCTACTACTGAACTTGCCTAAACTCAACTAAGGTTATCTGAACTCTCACTATGTGCCATGAACTAAGCTAAGGGTGTTTTTTTTTTTTTTTTTTTTTTTTTTTTTTTTGTGTGTGTGTGTGTGTGTGTTTGTGTGTTTTGTTTGTTTGTTTTGGTTTTTACTTTTATATACATTAGTTACCTCATTGACCTCCCATAGTAAGTCCCTGCTGTAGATATTGCTTATGCCCCATCTTTCAGATGAGAAAACTGAGGCTTAGAGAAATTAAATAATTTGACTATGGTCGCATAGCTATCAGCAGCATTGTCTAAGTCAGAGCTCTAATTATAACATCATGCCAATAACCAGTGAACTGCATTACCCACTCTCCATTCCATAATCAGGTGTGTTTCTTCTGACTGACAGCTGGAGGGGAGGAGACCATCTCAGACAAATAGACAGGTTTCTACTGAGGAGGAAATAGCAAATTGTTCATCAGGTCACACCACTCTAGCTTGGGTCCCGGTGACTGGAGCTTTGCTACACCTGAGACATGAGCCTCATTATTCCTTTGTTTAATCATCGTGTACTGAGTGTACTGGCTGTGCCCAGCACTGTGGTAAATGCTGGGAATATGGAAACAGATGCCAGCTCCCAGCCCACAGGAGCAGATGAAATATGGTAGCAATCATACTTGGGTAAAACTGCTGTTAGAATTTTAACCTTGCTATCTGACTTGGACCTTCCATTACTTGCTTAAACAATAGGGTAGTTACAGGAGATTGACTCTCATTGACTCAGTAGCTTCAGGGGTAGAAACTATAGATAACCTTTAGAGATTAACCTCTGAGTTCTGCTTTTGTATTATGGGCAAGATAGAGCCACATTCCAATGTCCAGCAGGGTGTGACTGGGAACCAACCCTGCAGGCTGTTTCCAGTCTTTAGAATTTAGTCTTTAGGATTTAGGAACAGATAAGGACGGCCAGTTCTTTGTCCTGAGGGGCCAATCAGGGTTAACCGAGGCAGTGACATCACCACCGACCTGGGTAAAACCCCTGGACTGGGCAAAGTTCGCTCTCTTCCGCCATGCTGCCGGCGTGAGTGGTACGGAGCCCATGCTAGCATGGAAAAGGCTCTTTTGTTTATTGCATTGGACTCGGCTCCCTGGTGGTCCTTGGGGATCACGAATTCATCTGGGATCCCCAGCCAGGACTATGAGGAACCCCGATCCGGAGAGTCTGACTGGTGTGTGTTTGTCTATGTTTTTGTGTAAGCGCTCTGGAGGGACTGCCCCTCCATCGGGGCTCTTATCTGGGTGTTTGCCGGCTGCTGCGTCAGCCACGGTTTGAGCCCGGATTCGAATCTGTAATAAATTCTTGCTGGCTTAATCAAATTGGCTTCGGTGGTCCATCTCTTGGGGACTCGCTAGGTAACAGCAGACAGCATATGTTTCTGATCAACAGAGTACAACAAGGGGAATCCCTTGGAGCAAAGAGCCAAATCCTAGGCTGTGGGTTTGACTTGCTGCATAAAGCAAAGAATAAAGGGTTATGGTTTGCAAGCCTCTTTCCAGCCCTGACGGGATGGTCTCACTTTCCTAACTAGTTCTGCAGCAGTGCAGGGAGCCAGATAGCCTTCGTTCTTCTCAATACTGTCCAGAGACAGTGCTCCTAGGGACAGTGCTGCTGGGGATAGCGCGCATACGGACAAATGCAGAAAGCTGTGATTTCTTCTTTTCTATTTCTTCTTTCATTGTTTTGGCAGAGAAATTCTCAATATGCAACCAGTTATTATATAAAGAGTTTTGTATCTTCTTTCTTGAGGTGTCTTTCTGCTATGGCTAAATAAACTCTAATAGGACGGTCCTCCAGAGAAATAGGAGGCCTCCAATGTGGTATTTCACCAAAGATGTATTCCGGAGAAACTGGGGACCCTGGCCAGGGAGGCTGTGGCTGGGCTGCTGCCTGGGGAAAAGATTGGGCCTTCTCAGCTTCAAGAAGTCCTTAGAGGTGCCTCTACGTGAGCAAAAGACAAAGGCCTGAGCCCGAGCCCCGCCCCCAGTCACCAGCAGAACAGAAGTTGGAGCTGAATTTACTGTTGCATTATCAAGGAAAAACATAATACCCTAAAGCAGTTCCCCACATGGTCCAGCCTGGCCACACCTCCCAAGTCAGCAGGTGAGGCAGAGAGAGCCAGAGCTGGCAGGAGGCCCAGGGGCACGTCTGGCTCCCTGGCCTCAGGAAGTGTCAGGCTCTTCTTTTTTGCAGGAAGAGGAAAGGGGAGGGGGGAGGGGAGGGAGGTTCTTCGGTTCCCCTTGGCCGGTGACCGAGCCCAAGCAGCCCAATTCAGTTTACCTTCCCCAAGGCTGCTCTGAGGCCCCACCCCGCCACCGAAACCAACTTGAGATTTTGTACGGTCAGCTGTGCAAAAGCAGGAAACCAACTTCAGATCCCCCCCCCCCCCCCTCCGTCAGCTGTGCCAGCAGGATAGAGTGCGGGCTCCATTCCCCTTTAGGGCCATGCGATGGCCTATGAGGCAAGCCTTCCACTCCGACAACATGCAGAAGGAATGCAAGAGGCAAGGAACCCAAGCACCATACCTCCTCTGAGGTCCCCGTCCGAGGCTGCAGGCGCGAGCGGAGGAAGGAAGTAGCAGAGAGTCACTCCTCAGAGTCAGGCGGGACTTGTCCCAGCAACCTGGCTTCTCTCCGATCTGATCTCCAAGCGCTCATTCCAGGCGCTGGATCCAGCCCTCCTGCCCCCTCCCCCAGAAGACCAGGAGCTCACAGGCTAGGAGGTTCCCAGGGCACAGCCCACTCGGAACCCCTACTATACCAGCCGTCTCCGCTCAGACCTCCCCAGGGGCGGGACTGGGGAGTCTGCGAGCCCGATCGGCGAGGTGCTCCCAGATCTGTGCTTGCCTGGCCGACTTGGCCCCCTGCCCCGCTAGCCCACGTTCCCGGATTCCTGGAGCCGTGCTGGGAATAGACTTGGGGAGATCCATCCAGGCCATTAGGGAACCCGCACAGGGCTCAACCGCGGGCGATGGCTCCCCCAGAAAGGCTGGGTCCACTGGTTAGGTTGGGGGGCCACCGCCTTCAGCCCCGCAGCCCTTGCTCTGCAAAGAGCCCAGAAGAGGCGCGGCAGCCCTGAAGACAGCCGGGGCTGGGTTGAGGAGGGTGCCTCAGCCCAGAGTCCCGGAGACCAGCCCCCGCGCCCCCCCCCCCCCCCCCCCCCGCGCGCACTCACCGCTCAGCAGGCGCCCCTTCTCGCCCCGGAGCCCCGCCAGCAGCGCGGCCAGCAGCACGGCCCGCGGCGCCCCCAGCTGCATGGCCCGGCCCCGTGCGCCTCGGACCCCGGCGCTACCGCGGAGGAGCGGTGGACCTCCAGCTGCACGCACCACCGCAACGGGCAGCTGGGGCAACTGCATCTCGGAGGACAGCCCTGGCACCTGGAGAGGCGGGGAGGGCGCGGAGCCAACCAGTCTCCCCTCCGCCCCCGGGACGTCACTGCGGAAGGACAGCCCCGCCAGCTGGCCCGCCCCCAGGGCCTCCTCCAGCTCCCGGCGCCAGACACCCGGCCTGCTCCGAGCTTCCCAGGAAAATCACGCATTTGCCTGAAGCTCAGAGCCGCCGGGGAAACCCGCCTGGGTTCTCTGAAGTCTGATGACGAGAGCGCTGTGGCTGAAAACAGAACCGCGCCTCGCCCCCGCGCCTGGGGACACAGCCAGATTGACTTGGGAGAGGCGGGCAGACCTCATGGGGCTGGGTGGGGTGCAGCGCAGGCTTCGGGCTACTCTGGGAACTGGGTGGTGAATGGAGAAAGGGGTGGTGGATGGAGAAAGGGGTGGGTGGATGGAGAAAGGAGTGGTGGATGCGGAGAACAGATGCTGAGGTAGGTGTGACAGTCGGCCCCATCTGCCCAAGAGATAAGGACTCTGGAAACAGACTAGGCCAGGCGAGAAAAGTTTAAAAAAATAAAGTCAGTCGTAACTGGAGTTACGGGAGAAATTGGGGTCATAAAAACCGCAGCATCCTGCACTCCCGTTGGGAGTCAGGACAGACATTCTGTTTGAAGCAAAACAGGCCAGGTTGTGTAAATCACCTAAGGAACAGCTAAGGACAGCCGGTTCTTTGTCCTGAAAGGCCAATCAGAGAGTGACAGACCAACAGTGGGATGGGATGGGAAAAAGAGGTATAAGAGGAGGGACTGCCCCTCCATTGGGGCTCTTGCCTGGGTGTTTGCCAGCTGCTGTGTCAGCCAAGGTTTGAGCCTGGATTCGAATCTGTAATAAACTCTTGCATGCTTAATCAAATTGGCTCCGGTGGTTCATCTCTTGGGGACTCGCTTCGTAACAGTAGGCAGTGTGCCATCGGCCTGGCAGGTAAGGAGCATGATAGCATCCCTAGAAGGAGGTTGAGTTGAAGTCCTGGCTGAGAAGAGAGCAGCTCCTCTGGAGGCCAAAGGATAACTGAATTCAACAAGGAATTAACATTGTTCGTTCAGCCATGAACTTGTGATAGTAAGGAGATAGCCTTCCCCAGTGACCCCAGTTCCTCTGGAAACGCTTTCCTCACAACCCAGCCCTCAATGTGTGCGCCTTCTTCTACGCTCCCACAGCAGCCGTGTTTTACATTTGGTCTTCAAATATATCCAGACAATGATGTGAGTTTCCAGAATCGAAGGCACTAAGTGGCAGAGGTGCGTCTGGTTTCCCTGCCTTTGCCTCTCTGTGAAGCACAGCAGAAGCTCCATCTGGGCTGACTTCCGGTTTGGGGCCTCAGCTTGAGCCACTGCAGTTCTAGACACACAGGCCTAAATACAGGCTGTGAGATGTGGAGCCTGCTTCAGTACCGGGTGGTAATATGGGGAAGCTCTGCTACTCCAGAAACCAGCAGCAACAGCAGGAACTTATGGCAAGTTCATGTACAACCAACCTGTCTTTACGTCCGAATTAGAATATCTCGTATCCAGCATACATTCTTTCTAGAAATTCCTCATTATCCAAAGAATCAAAGTGAGAGCTGCTCTGGTGAAAATCAGCCCTTCATTTGGCACCAGGTATTGTTTCCAGTCCTGTTTTTCTTCACTTAATGTGTGTGGCCTTTGAGAAGTTTCATTGTGTGGGTTTTATTGTCGTTTTGGCCTAAGTTTCAATTAAATCTTGGTAACACTAAAAGTTACCTCAACTTTTGTGAAGGGTTGATAAGACAAACAGATGTTCACGTGAATAGGTAGCTGGGCACTTAATGTCAATTGAAAATATTTATTTCCAATATAACAACACCATTACAACCTAGAGAGCTGTTACCTTAGTCCAATTAATTAAATTGTGCCCCGAGTTCTCCCTTTGATACCCTGGTACTTGGTCCAGATAGACTTTGTGGTAGATGGTAATAACAACCCCAATTCTTCACACCACCCTATTTCCACACCCTTTACTGTGTGTCTTTCCAGTTCCTCTTACTAAGGGGGCAGAGTATATTTTCCTCCTTCTTGTCTCTGTGTTTGAACTTGTGATTTGTTTGGCCAATAGAATGAACCAGAAGTTTCTGAGCCGAGACTGGAAAAGGCCTCACATGTTTTCACTTGTTCTCTTGCTTCTTTTCTGCTCTCTTAGGGGAAAATAGCTAGGATATTCCACTGGTCCCTGTACATCCCCAAGAAGATGTGGAGAGCAGAGCTGCCTCAATCCACAGGCATGTAGTGAAAAGGGACCTGCCTAGGTGCTGTAGCCTGAAGCACAGCTGTCTGGCCAAGCCTAGATCAGCCGAACCCCCAACTGACCTACAGATGTGTGAGCAAGAATAAACATGTAAGCTCACTTTGATATGCAGTATTATTGCAGTAATACCTAACTGTTAAACCTGGCAATGCAGGCAGGTGTCAGCAGGGGGAGCCTGGATGCCAAGAGAGCTCACCAAGTGGAATTTTTCTTGAAAAAATTATATTGTCCAGGGTCCAATCCTTAAGTTTGACAAGCTCAAACCCAAGGTAAGAGACTCATATATTTACACATTGAGAAATACAATCATCAGGTAAGCCCATGTTTGCACTGGCCTGTTGAGCACAAACTCCCTCTGGGCAAAAGATTACCCAGTGAGCATGGGGTCAGAAGAAAGGGAATTGGTATCATGATTTGGAAGTTTTGGCTTTGATAGCCTGCTATGTCATCATTATAGAGAGCTATCTGTCAGGCAGACAAACACATTACCCTAATAGGGTTCCTTTTATTTTTTTCTCACCTGAGGATATGTTTCCATTGATTTTTGGAGATAGTGGAAGAGAGAAAGAAAGACAGAGAAAAATATCAATATCGATGTGAGAGAAACACTTCGATAGGTTGACTCCTGCACAAGTCTGACCAGGGCTGAGAAGGAGCCTGCAACCCAGTACTGGCCCTTGACTGGGATCAAACCTGGGACCCTTTGGTCTGCAGGCTGGCGCTCTATCCACTGAGCAAACTGGCTAGGGCCTTTTTTATTCTTAATGTTGCTGAGATGAGATTTCCATTTTATAACTTTCTAAACTTTTTTTAAAGCCTACCTTCTGTTCAAAACACTTATTTTCAAATAGTGTTGTGGTGGAAACTGCTAGTTTCCACTAATATCCATTTTCTACTTCTTTTAGTGATAGAGTCCTGAATTTTTAATTGGTTAGATCTCTCCCCTACCCCCCTCATTTAAAGCCTATTTCCTGGCCTCCCTTGCAGTTTGCTGTGTCCCTGTGATTAAGTTCTATTGGCACTGGGGAGTAGGAGTTGCATCTGATGGAAGGTATGCCTAAGAGCTGCAGGTGGAGGCCAAGTGAAGTGAGTGGTGGTCATAAATAGAACTGCAAGCACTGGAGCAGAGCATGCAATCCTGAGCAGGAATGCCAGCGGAACAATGCCCAAGGACAAATACTTAACCTTCTCTTTTCCAATATACCCCAAAGGAAATGACCTCAGAGGAGGATCCAAGATGGCTGCTCGGGTAGACATCTAGCTGCGGCAGCACACAACAATTTCAATGGAATACAACTAAGATGTAGAGTGGACATTGCCCAGAGCTACAGGTAGTCGACTGACTGAAAATTCTACAACAAGAAGGAAAGAGAAAACCAGAAGGAAAATCAGAGGAGCTGAAAAAAAAAAGCCTAAGGTACGGAGACATGCTGCGCGCCCGCCCACACGCGCGCGCAGAGAGGTCGCAGCCGGAGAGGAGGAGAGGGCGGGTGCTGCCTTTCCTTCCCTAGCAGGAAGGAAATAAAATCCCCAGCCTGGGCTGAACCCCCGAACCAGCAGCGCTGAGCCCCCTGAACCGGCAGCGCTGAGCCCCAGTTATGGGCCAGACCCTGGGGACCCAGGATCCGGCAGGGAGAGACGGGGCTGTGAGGCAGAAAAGCAGCGTAAAGCAGGGCCCCCGGAGTCACGTGCAATGCGCGCGCAGAGGACTGAATGTTGACTCTGATGCTGGGTTACTCTAGCCGGAAGAAACAAGGCCTCTGGCGGCGCTGGGCCTCAGTCCGGACTGCTCCGAACCCCAGTTCTGGGCCAATCCCTGGGGACCCAGACTCAGGCAGAGGGAGACGGGGCTGTGAGGTGGAGTCCGGGGAGAGCGGTGAAAGGCCAGGCCCCCGGACTTGCGCACACTGCGCACAGAGGACAGTCTGTTGACTCTGATGCTGGACTCCCCTAGCGGAAGGAGAAAAAAAACTCCAGGCTGAGGGAACGCGGTGGGGAGCAGGAGCCCCTGCTGGACGCGGGCCAACCAGGCACCAGCAAGGAGGCGGGCGACGGGGCCCCGGGGAGGGGAGGTGGGGGCCTGAGCCTTCCACCGCTGAGCACGGGCAATGGAGCCAAGGCCGGGGTGGGGGGGCTGCTTCCTGGGCGGCGCCGTCCCCGGCAACAGGCTAAAGCAGCACAGGAGCCCTTGGAGAACAAAGGGGTGCCACAGGCCAACCTGCTGAGCTCCCAGGACAAGGAGGAAGAAACCAAAGAAGTTCTCAATGTGAAGAAATCGAGAGCAAAAGATAGTAAAATTACTTAAGAAAGAATACAAAGAAGTTCTTGAAAAATCAAAGACTAAGTCAGAACTCAACTCACCAGCCAACATTACAACATAAATGCATTTAAAAAAAAAAAGAAAAAAAAGGACAGAATGTTGGAACAGCGGCGGCCAGGCCTAGAGTGGCCAGGCACAAGGCAGTGGCAGCCAGGCCCGGAGCAGCAACGACCAGGCCCCAGAGCAGCAGCAGCCAGAACCAGAGCATCAACAGCCAGCACTGGAGCAGCCAGACCTGGGGCAGTGGAAGCCAGGCCTGAGGCGGAGGTGGCCAAGCCCAGGGTGGCCAGTCCAGGAACACCCAGACCCGGAGTGGCCGGGCCCGGAGAAGCCGGGCCCAGAGCAGCTGGGGTGGGAGCAGCCAGACCCAGAGCAGCAGTAGCCAAGCTCAGAACATCCAGGCTGGGAGTGCCCAGGCTCGGAGCGGCTGGGCCTGGGGCAGCCGGGCCCAGAGCAGCCGGGTCGGGTGCAGCCAGGCCCGGAGCAGTGGCTGCCAGGCTGGGAGCCACCAGGCCCGGAGCAGCCAGGTCGGGTGCGGCCAGGCCCGGAGCAGCAGCTGCCAGGCTGGGAGCGGCCAGGCCCGGAGCAGCGGCTGCCAGGCTGGGAGCGGCCAAGCCCGGAGCAGCAGCAGCCAAGTCCAGAGCAACTAGGTCGGGAGCGGCAGTGACCAGACCCGGAGCAGCTGGTTGTGGAACGAACCAGAGCAACAGAGGCCAGGCCCTGAGCAGCCAGGCCCGGAACAGCTCGCTCCTCGCCTGCCCCTGCCCCACGGCAGCCTCTCAGACATGGCTGGAAACTTTTGCGGGAACTTGAGGGTCTGCTGAATCAAGTGATGAAGGCTTAGATCTGGATGTGTTGAGTTAGTATAGGGCTGGGGTGTTGATCTGTGAGTGCCTTGGGTGGGGCCTGGATGAGGCTGGTGGACCTATTGGGAAATGTCTTTTGTGTGAAGTATATCATTGCGCATGTGGAGGTATTATTGATATGAGAAAATGCTAAGTAACTGATTTACTATCTGAAAAGGGATTTACTATTGGGGAAAGGGAGGGAAGAAGAGACTGAACATAAACTGTGCACCTATGGATGAGGACAATGGGGGATGGGGAGGGGGCGGAGGGGGGGGTGGGAACCTGGTGGAGGGGGGGAAGAAATGAGGAACCTTTGTAATAATATGAACAATAAAGATTGATAAAAAAAAAAAAAAGTGAGGGAGGTTGGCACTAGAACGTACATGTGTGTAAGATATAGGAATGCTAAACCAGCTATTCACAGAACTACACTGAGTGGCCGGATTATTATGATCTCTGAATGAATAATAATCTGGCCACTCAGTGTATATCCTATATAATAAAAGGCTAATATGCAAATTGTTCCCTTAACCAGGAGTTCGACCAGCAGTCAGGCCAACCAACTGCCCATGTCCCCTCCCCCTGGCCAGGCTAGCCAGACCCCACATATGCCCAAATTCATGCACCAGGCCTCTAATATATATGCTGAGCAGCCAGATTATTCTGCGTTCAGAGATTATGATAATCTGGCCACTCAGTGTTTGTTCTTTTATTTCTATTTACTTATTGTTTTTACTATTGGTCTACTACTTGGGGCACATAAAATCCTGTTGCTTGTTTATTTGATATTCATAATATAGATCAAATATAACAATTCTGGAGACAACAAATAAAAACAAGAGAAAAAGGAGTTTGAGAATGTATAAGATTATTGTGTGGTGTCAAATATAGTGGTATCCAATAAGTAAACAATATTTTCAATATTCAATATTCAATAACTGGTAAAAATTCCTGGAAGCCTGCATACTTAACTTTTATTTCTTAGACTATTTTAACCAATGATCCCAACGATCCTGATGTAGGACTAGGTTGTTTCAGAAGTGAAGAATTAAGTGAGCCATTCTCTCTGACGTGTCAATCGTTTAGTTCAAGGCTTTGACTTCTTCTTGGTCTTCCTTATTGGACTCTGGAATCACTTTCCTATTGGCAGAAACATGGATCAGTCCCATGTACAGAACTCTGTAGTTGTGAACACAAAGTAGCATGGAGACAACTTTTGAAAGTTTCCCCAATAAAGATTTCCTGAATTGGATTCTGACAATGCATTAGATTTTGCAACCAAGTGTAAATTCATATGTGGGAGAAGCTGCAATTCTACTGTAAAGTGTGATTTGAAGGGCATGATAGAAGACCTCCTAACCCTAAATATGTTTTGCTCACCCAAGAGTCAAACTTGGGGGATTTCCTCATTGCTAATTGATTACAATGGATTGTCTAATGTTCCTTCTAATCAGTCCTCTATAATGCAAATATTCCTGGGGTAGATAATGAACATATTGCTACTAAAACCTTACTCTGTTCACAGGAAAGTTCTTTCTTTCCCACAGTAGGGGATTTGAATTGTCTTAAGATCTGTTGGATAAATAGCTGCTGATGCTACTCAAATAGCAGTCTTTACTCATTTAAATCAAGCGAATATTTTCATTAGACTAGTTTTGCTTCCTCCTTAGAAGTTACATCTAATCATCTGGCTAAAATGCAAGAAATTAAGTTGATGAGCATTGTGTAGACAAGATAGCCAGCTGATGGAATGATTTTTCCATTTTCCCCAGAATTTTTAAAAATAAGTGTAGATTTATTAATTTTTCTTTGATGACATTAAAGGGAATCAGCCTTAATACCAATGGGATAAGAATAAAAGTTCTATTACTTTATAACCATTCTTCCCTGAAGGTATTATGCAAATAAATACTTTAAAAATAAATGTTGAGTTAGCCACATTAGTTTTCAGTCAGAATAAAAATAAACACTGAGAGTTCTTAAATGATTAATTAGTGGTAGCTGGTTTTCTTTCAATAGTTCTGGTCCCTGAGCCCAGTCCTGCCCTAACATTATTCTAAAGATAAGACTTTTAACATATCACTGTGAGGGTAAAGCCCTTACTACATGAATTTAGATTTAACAGATATGCCACTGATGGTGGCAGCACAGACAATAAAAGACCTACTGATTTGCTAAGTATGGTGGGACTAGGTGTGGGTAGGGAAGGGAAGGGGAGTGGAGAGGGCACTAGCAGGTGGATACAATAGCTCAGGTTAAGAAAGGAGGGTAAGAGAGATGTGAACAGAAATACAAGGTTGATTTACTTTCCTGTTTACACTAACTTATATTTGCATATTCACAGGTATGGAAATGGACACACAGGCTTTAATATAGAGAAGAAGAAAGTTTATTCAAGGTAAGAAATCTCTAAATTAGTGGGTGGGTTTTTAGAAGATTTGAGTGTAAGGAGGCAAAGTGAGTAAAAAAAAAGTGCTTTTTTTAATCAGGTAACTAAAAAAGTAAGAATATTTGACAGAAGTAAACTTACTTTTCTTTATAGACTTTGCTCTTTGGTTTATAAGGAAGGGAGATCAGTTCTTTCTAAACAAAACAAAAAAATCAAAAAGGAAATGTTTTACTTTTTGCACTGACTGAAATTTAATCGAAAAAAAATTGAGGTAAAATTATCACAGTTTATACAAACTAGCTTCTTAAATCTGGAGACTGTAGGGTCAGAAATGTTCCAGATTAGGGAATTTGGGGTTCATTCAGGAGAGCATATACACTCATAAGTTTACAGGGTATTATTGTTGTTTTTATTAAGTTTGTTTATCATCATTTAGCATTTGTTTTTGCATGACTTAAGTAAGATCAATCATCATAAAACTGATATTAGCACCAAAGTAGCCCATGTTAATACTGCAGCTTTAAACTAGGTGATAATCAGCTCACCGACAATAGTACCTCATTTCTCTGGCAGCAGAGTTGGCACACTGTGAAGATGTCTTTGGTTTACCAAGTATTGCACAATTATCTGATGTCTATACTCTCCCCCCCCCCCCCCCCCCCCAGTATATAAAAGGCTCAGGACTGTATATCTAGATTCAGAGGGTCAATTTCTGAGAATTTGCCATAGTTCACCACTCCCACACAGATAGATTTATCCAAATGCCTCACTATCAGTCTCACCGAGATCCTTTCTTCTCTTTGTTTCTTTAAGAGTTGGAGAATCTCATCTCTCTTTTTAGCCTGTGTAAAAGGGGAAAAGAGTGGGTGAATCTTTTGAATAATTAATAAAATTTTTGTGTCCACCAAGAGTAGAATTTTTTTCCATTTTTCTTTTTGTATTTTGGGGCAGAATTTAAAAATATTTTTTCCATGATAGATTTATATTTTCATTTGTAACACAATGCAGTTTTTATTTCAGAGGATGCTGCTCTGCAAAAACAATTCATTCCCAAATAAAAGGTATTTTCTTGTGCATCTACCTTATTGGTAATAATTAACATTTATCAATACTTTAATACATAACTTTATATAAATTATATAAATTATGTAATTATTTTATTATAATAACTCATAAGTTTGACTACTATTATTCCATGTTATAGATGAGTAAATCTGAAGTTTACTAAGGTTAAGTAGCTTACCAAGCTATTAAGTGCAGAACTAGATTTGGTACCAATTGTATTTGACAACAAATCCCAAGCTAATGACCACCATACAAAATTGCCATTAAGTGATAGCAAAATGCAAACTCAGCAAGCGCACACCACATGCCATCACCTAAGAACTATAACAGGGCTCTGTCTAATAGCTTGTGCATGAGACAGAGCATTATTCTCTCATCTCTCCTGTCTTAGATATTGGGACATTCTCAAGTTCTCCTAAGTGTAAAAAACTAACTGAATACAGGCATGAAGATTTATCAAAATATAGACTATATAAAAGGAGGCAAGTATAGGTACAATTTTTTTTTTTATAGAATCGCTTATATTCAGTTTTGAAGATAGCCAGGCATAAAATTGCATCTGGAGTATTGGAGAACAAAAGAAAAACCTGAGAATCTGACAAATAAAACTTGCAACTTCAAATGTCCAAACAAAATGAAAGAAGCTCTGTTTAGATCAAGATTAGAAGCAAGAGGCTTCTAGTCAAGATGGTGGTAAAGGTAAATATGATACTCTCATCCTCCCACAGTCATATAAAAAATACAATTAAACTACAGGAAAATCATCATTCAGAACCACTTGAAATTTAGTTGAATGAAAGTCATACAACTGAAAATATAAAAAAGAAGCTACACCAAAACTGGTAGAGAACAGAATAGGCTGGTCCCACACTCACATGTGGTAGACAAAAATCAGGAGGGGTTTTTTGGCTACAAAAGACTCTGAGGTTTGAGGGTTCCCAGTCCCACACCAGACATCCAAGTCTAGGGTTCTAGTACCAGGAAGAAAAGTCCCAATAACTTCTGGCTTTTAAAACCAGCAGAGATTGTGGTTGAGTGAGAAAGAGGTTGCTGAAGTCACAGACAGTTTTTCTCAAAGAGATCATGCACAGACTTACTTGAAGTACTCCCTCTGAGCTTCAGTGCTGGAGCAGGGTCTCCAAAGACATCCACAATGTATGGGGAGGAACTAAAGAGTCTGGCATCAGGATGAGAATTAGAGGGACCACTTTTGCCCAGATAGAAGTGCTGGCAGAGGCCATTGCTCCTTTGCTGAACACTTTCCCCACAGAATAGGCAGGGAAGCACCATATCTGAGTCTCCATCGCCTGACTATCACTGTTTGCCTCATCCTGGTGATTATGGGGAGCTGCCTGAATGCAGGGGTCCTATATGCCTGAATGCAGGCATGGGTGTAGGACACAGCTCTCCATGTGCCCCCCTTTCCAATAACCTAAGTGGAAAATTACTACTACCCCTAGGAATGCTGTTAACTGCAGATGTCTTTGCTTTAGGGTAAAACAATTGATAGGAGTCTGCTGACACAGGAGGAGCTGCGAGTTAAAAGGAAGATAGGTGGTTGTAAAAGGTCAGATGGTTGTAAAAGGTCAGGTGCTGAAGGAACTTATCTGTACAGGAACTCATGTTAGCAGAAACGGCCACCTGCACGATTGCCTGAAATAAATATTTCCTCCTTCAGAATTGTATTTAAAAGTTGTAAAAATAAAATTCGGGGTGGCAGACTTCGGGTCTAAGCCCTCCTGACCCCATCTGTTCTTGTCTTTTTCTTATCCTCACCCCTTCATTCAGGTACTGTTTGTTGCCGGTAGGTTCCAGCAGGTGATTCTCCAATACTCCACCCCACAAATCTGTAGGCTTACCAAGCTATTTCCAATGGGTTTTCCTTACAAATGACCTGTCTTGGCTTCTGACTTCCCTAAAATTTCTCAAACAAGCAGCATCTGATCTTCGATTGCCCCAAATCTTTCATTAAGTGGCTCCAGCCTCAGCACTAGTGGCAGCCAGCCTTGGTTAGCAGCTTGACCTCTCCTGGGCACCTCTAAGCCATCTGCAGATCACTGTAGATCATTCCTGGTGGCTCCAGGTAGAGCACAGGAGGTGGCTGACCTTGGCCTGAACCTCCTGGGAGGCCCCAGAACTAGTGCATCTGGTGGACAGCTTCATACCATGCCAGAGCACCACCCAACTACCTCCACAAGAGACGGACTCAGAGAGTGGACTCAGGGCATACCAGAGCCACCCTGAAATAAGTCCTGCTCTGTGAGGTGGACCCATGCACAGCTGATCCGCCATGGTAGTTGCAGCCAATTGGCCTGGAGGTAAATTTCTCCCATTGATGTTCCATAGCAATCAAGCCTCAACTATCGATACAACAGGACGGTATACTCAGTACACAGTGGAGCCAGCTCAGGTGAACAGCTGTGCCACTGGACCTTACAGAACACCTACTACATTAGGCCACTCTACCAAGCCCGGGAGATGTAGCAGCTCTACCTAACATATAGAAACAATCACAGGGAGGCTATCAAAGTGAGGAGACAAAGAAACGTCACAAATGAAAGAACAGAACAAAAGTCCAGAAAAAGAACTAAATAAAATACCAATGTTATTGTTTCACAGTCCTGGAGGCTAGAAGTCCCAAATCAAGATATGGGCAGGGCCACGCTCCCTCTGGAACCTAGGGGGGAATCCTTCCTCACCTCTTCATAGCTTCTGGTGGTTTGCCAGCAATCTGTGGCTTTCCTTGGTTGGCAGCTCTATAACTCCCACCTCTGCCTTCATGGTCACATTGCTTTCTTACTGTATGTTTCTGTCTTCACATGGCTATTATAATGACACTGGTCATATAGGATTAGGGGCTAACCCTACTCTAGTATTAACTTCTTAACTAATTCCATCTTCAATGGTTCTATTTCGAGACAAGGCCACTTTTTGAGATACCAGAGATTAGAACTGACCACAGACTTTTTTTTTGGATACATTTCAGACTTTTTTTGGGATACTGTGCAAGAGGCTGAACAAAACTCAATCACTGCCTGCAAAGTGATTGCAGATTTGTAGAGAAAAAGACAAGTAAATAATTTCAAACATGCAATCATTGGTCAGTATCTAAAGTGCAATTAGAAAACTGAAGAGGGATCCTTAATTCAGACTAGAGTGTGTATGTATCTGTCAGGGGAGTCAGAGAAGATGTCCCAGAAGATGTAATGTCCAAGCTTGGACCTAAAAGTTGTAGTCACCCAATAACAACAGAGACAGGATGGGAAGAAAGCTTTTGAGAAAACAGGATGTGCAAAGCCCCAGAAGCTGCGGAATTGCTAAGGGATTCTTCAAGGCAATTCCTCAGCCTGTATATCTGCAAGAGAAGCCACAACCCTCAGGCATGCTCTGAGTCACAGGAGAGGAGGAACCCATGCTGGGGAGGAGTAATCAGCAATCGGACCAAGAACAATGCTGCTTTGGTCGGCATCGTTCTGCTCAAGTCATGTTAATGTTACCTTTTATGAGCCTACAAACTTTTCATTTTACTTATTTTGGGACAAGATTTCTATCTTTTATTTGACTATTAGGCATCATATTACAGTTATTGAAAGAAAATAAATTCAGGGTATTTTAAAAACTAAGCTGAACTTCATAATACCTGTTCACTTGCTTTGGACTGAATAAAATAATGTCTGTTGATAAAGACATGGGATATTTTCAATGTAGGTACTCAATGTTAGTTTCATTTCCAACTTTTCCATTGCACGTATATTGAATTGGAATCAATTGCTGCCACACAGTGATTACATAGCACTTTTATCTTTATTGTGGTATTGATCTTCCTTTCCCTGCTTTATCTCATAGTTGCTACCATGTCTCTTTCAGAGTCTTACTTATCTTTTATCCTTCCTTAGAGCTTAGCAGTGCCTTGCATATTATACTCAATGAATTTTTGTTGAATTGGATTGAAATTGAGTCATAATGAATGAATGAAATCATTACACTGACGAATACACAATTATTAGCCTAAGCAAAATAATTTTTTTTTTAGAAAGTGAATTTAAACGGGTAGGTAAGTTTAATTATTAAAATCCCATTGGACAAAATTTTCTGGGTAGTCATAGGCAAGTTATGTTGTTATAATCCTTCTAATATATAAATAGATAAATATTTAGTTATAAGATTCTAAAATATGAATTAAAAATTCATACTGGTGATGGGAAAAATAATAAAGTAAAATAAAGAGAAAATGTTATGTTAACATAAAAAAACAATTCATTTTCTATTTTTATTTCAGATCTTTTTTAAATAATGGATTTTAGTGCCTAATAAGTCTTATAATGTAATATAATATAATACACCAGAAACAAAGCCTGCAAATGTGATTTGACTTCTGCTTCCTGGACATGTTTCCTGGGAATGAATAATAAAACTACTGTAAGCAGCTATATATATCATCAGAATAAGAACATTGCCGAGTCTAAGATACCTCTGCCAGGATAACTAAATAAATTCAGTGGTGAGAGAAAATCTTTACAATTATCTTGCTAGTAGGGATAAATAACTTACTAGTTAATTTCCTAACAAAATTCTGATTTTTAATCATAGTGTTTTGATTGTGTCCATTAGTGGAATTTTATGATATCTTAATGTATTAACTTTAAAAATAATACTAAAAGGGGTCAGGATTTACACTTACAATATTTTTATATTATTTATTTTCTTGATTCTATTTTCATTGATATTGTTTACATTTAAATAATATCATTGAAAAATAAATTATATAATAACAGTT